GCCTTAGATACAATCTCTAAGCTATTAATTAAATTTGCTAATGTTAAAGCCACCAAGTGAAAGATTTGGGAATGAAAAAATGAACCAATTCTGTGATAGACAAAACCTACCTTAAATTCTTTGTTTTCAAATGTCAGCATATGCAAGCAAGCACTGCATGTGGGATGAGACCCCTGAACCTTTCGAACCTGTTGGATGAGACTCTCCATCACCTTCACAGAGATGTAACAGACAAAAGTAACACACTGAATGATGAAAACAGGACACATTTTTGCATATAATACTAAATTTGTATTGCTCAAACCCAGAAGAAGAAAAACAAAGATCAAAAGCTTGATGTATTGTACAATATTTAAGGAACACGACCCTCAGTAATGGTGAGAGAATAATAAATCGATCATTTAAACCAGAATGGAAATCCTTGTCGCACACATTCTTTTCATCTTGTAAAGTTTTTGAAGTCTTTAGCTCTGTTTCTGCTGGATAAATACATCGCTACTCTTCCCTGTTTATTTTACTGACGCTCTAATGCCTTTTAATATCATTGTAAAACGGATCTGGCCATTTTTCCTCATATATAAACGTTTGCTTTAATTGAAATAAGACATGAACTTTTCTCTCGCTAAGGAGCCTCTTGCCAAAGCTGCTGTTTTTTAAAGACATCCTTTACAGCTCCATGCACTTTGCTACTGCTCAGCACATGATGAGTTTTGTCAACAGCAATCTGGTCTGTCAATTAAAAGATCAAAAAAATCAAACGCAGGCCCAGCTTTCTATAAACCTCTTTCCAGTTGGAAAGTTGGTATGAAAAGCTTCTGAACGGCTCCCTCTGAACTGGCCCCAAGGAGCAGGGCCATCGTCTCCCGAGCAGTGCCCACCCTTTCCCTCCCCTGCAGCTGAAGACCAGGGGCAAGAGAAAGTCAGGACCATACCCGACACCTGAGCAACCAAGACTTCCACCATGGATCTGCTGTTCAGTTCACAAAATTTAAAACCTCTCTCCAGCTGCAGACAAAGTTTTCCAGAAGAATTCATGGAAAAGTAAAGTGCATAATGACAGAAGGCATTGGAGTTGGAGCAGCAGGCTCTTTTTGCTTAAAAATAAACAAGCTATGGGCAAAATCTGAAGAAGATTAAAAAGAAGCATAAAATCCAGGGGAAGAAAATGCACAGGCATGGAAAATCACAAGGGACGTATCTCTCACCCCAGGGCTGGCAAACTGGATGAGAAGCAGTTCTACAGAGAGCAATTTGATTCCTCTTACTGCACACATTGCACATATTTTGGCTGGTGATATTCTTTGCATCACCAGCTCCTAACGACTTCTTAGCAGAGCACCAGGAGTCCTTTGACCATCAAGCGAGAACAATTAAATAGCACTTGCTTCTTAAAGATGTCTCTGACTGTCACCAGTGATCTGTCATATCAGAGGTTTATCAGAAGGCAAAAAAAAGCAGGCAAGACCAACCAACAAGATTAACGAACGACTCCATGCTCAGAAATTTGCAAAGCATAAAGAGCACAAACACAAAGACGCCAGATGTTCTTTACGTGTTATTGATTGCCACTGCCAATCCCATCCAACGTCTTCGTTACCGCCAAAGGGGACATCTGCAACCTCACCCAGACCTTCTCCAGCCTGTACTCTGTGCAGTTGTCTACATCTGCCCAAACACCACCCGTTCTTACTCAGCAGTACCTTACACTCACGCTGCTCAGCCCTGCACAGAAGTCCAAACTCAGACAGGATGCAGAGGTGTAGAAATTCAGCCTCTAAAATGTCCCCCTAAAACTATTTGGGGGAACATTGTGCAGAGCTAAGGAGGAGGTGGACATGACAATCTCTGTAGAAGGACGGAAAGAACCCCAGGTTTCCTCCATGTGGGCAGTCAGTGGCAGAATGCTTACAGCTTAGATAGAGCTTGGTCCAACTTTGAGAACACAGAAAGGAGAAGGGACATAACACATGGTATCTTGATGTCGAGATAAAGGCACACCGAGTATGTTTGGGTTACAGAAAAGCTCTCCCATTCAGTTTCGTTTTCCTTAAACATTAATGTTAAGGATCAGTCTCTGACAACATCTGTGGCAGTTAACCAGATTTGAGGAATTTCACTTCTTCAGTTAAGCAAGTAGGTAGTCCGAAGTTTCGCATCCTTTCTTATGGCCTGAAGACAACCGCAGGGCCGTCACTACAACCCGACGCATTTCAGACCGTCAGAGAGGCTCAGAGATGAACCTCTTCCACATCGCGTTGTGACTGAGTAGGAGCACGCACCACCCACTGCTGTGACTCCTCAGTGAGAACGTTACCTTGAGCTATAGGAGCACCAACTTTTTATCTATTTATGCAACACCACATTGCATCCACCCCACAGCCCTTATGATTTGGGAGTTAGACAGAGGACCACACTCTTCATCAGTAGACCATCACGGCACTATGACCAAGCGAGTGCTACGATTAAGGGAGACAGCACTTCACATCCCACATAGGGTCAAACTATCAGCACAATTAGAGCATTTTACACCCAGCAGTGGAACACCGGCAGTAAATGTAACAGCAAAATTGGAGCTATACTGGTGAAGATCCCAAGTATCAACCAACTACAGGAAACAGTTTTTCTTCAGCATCAAGACTAAAGTAATCGTCTGCTTTTTTCTCCTTTGAGACCTCACTTTTGAAAGCCTTGCACAACAGAAGACTTGCCTATAAGACTCCTGCCAATTAGAGCTGGATTGCAAAGCAACATTTTCTCTTACAAGGATTACAGTTCTGCAGAAATAAAAACAATTACAAAACCGTTACCTCAGCGCAGGCCTGCATGGTGAGGAGCGTGCCAGCAGAGACGATGGCTAGATGTGGACTATGCGTACAACTAATGACTGCAGGGAAGGCTTTTCCCGACATGCACACTTTGTCTCCTGCGTGCATATGCGTTACCTGTGGACACAGGATAGAGATGGAAACATGGGGCAGAAGCCTTGCTCGCCTCCACAATGACAATAGGCTTGCTGACCAAAAAGAAGTTCTCACTTCTTCACAGGTGATTTTTAAAGACTCCGATATCACTACATTTTTATTATATACAGAAAAGCCTTTCACAGCCAAGGAAGTAGAAAAAATAGGTAGTGCTACGATAATTAGAAATGGAAAGGACATGTCTTACAGTGAATAAGTTGCCAGATCGCTCACATGAGGAAGATAACATGTAAAAGCAAAGTTCCAGGAATACAGAGATAGTGGTGAAAGCTCACACCGAACCCAGCATGGAGACACAGCCCCATCCCTTTTAATTCCTGATCTCCACCGCCATTGATTCTCATTTATAGACCAACAGCTTCAACTGACTCCACCTGCCTCGCTCAGGGAAGCTTCTTCTAACTATTGCCACCATGACAGAAGACCAGAGTGTGATTCTGAACAGAAAGTCAAATCATCTTCAAAGTCTACTTACACCTCCTTTTGTTTTCGTTCCTCTGTCTGACTCATATCCACACCTGTAGAAGACACAAATCTCTACTGAAGTCTTCCATCTTTCTTCATGGACTTCAACTGGCATTTAGCACATTCAGTCTAGCTATACAAAATTCACCGCTCTTGTTAAACTCCACCACAGTAGCAGATTACTGCCCTCTTTCTTGCATTTACACCCTCCATCTTAAAGAACTAATTCAAAACACACAGCTTGTTTTTAACCTATCCCAAGTATTTATTTTGCTAGCACCTCCTTCGCAGACCTTCTAGTATGTATAATGTTACTGCTGCCTCCTTCTATACACAGTCACTACAGAGTCAGTCTTCTATTCCCAGTTATCCAGAATATCCTTTTTTCTATCTCAAACGTCTCATCTTAGTCTCATTATCTGTTCCTACTTCTGCTCCCTGGTGGTTATTTAGGTCCTTCAGAAAACTAGAAAATTAACATGATTTGATATTAGTTGTATAGGAAACGAAACTCAATCATGTGGCACTGTAGCGGGATACTTAACTGGTTTTTCATTTCAGAGAAGTTCACTGTATGAAAGCGAACACAAAGGTGCCCAAAGTTTCCAAGGCAGAAGATCAGACTGGCAATTTGCCAGGTATGTGAGGGCTGAACAAAATTTGCATCCATATTTACATAAATACTGCAATCACTATAGTTTAGACTGAAAAAGAATAAGTTCTTAGTCTAAGCCCCAGTTTTCAGACTTCTGACTTTCTAAAACATTCACCTTAGAGGCTGAAATATTCCACACTAGCTCCATATTTAGAGGATGTTATTTATTTTAGAAGACCAAACCACACTCCTTCAGCCATTTCAGGCTCTCAGAACTCATCACACAGCAACATGCAAGAAAGAACAAGAAAAAAAAGATAGAAATGACAGTAACATGTGTGAGTTGCCACATATTAAACCTTTAAATTAACATTCTTGCTAAAAAGCTAAGTAGCCCCAAGTTCAAGAATAAAAGCATCCAGATGGCAAAGGTAATGCAGAGCAGGTATGGCATCCACTTACACCATACTAGCTGCTCCAGGTTAGCTACTTCTAGAGTTTCTGTCAAAGACTTCAGCAGCATCACTGGATTTCACTCCAGCTGGTGGCGGCAAGAGCAAAAGGGAACACAGCTTGGCACGGTATGGTGGGGATCAGTCTCTGCCTAACACTAGCGGTGTATGTTCCGAATGCGAAACCTGTGAAATATTTGTGACATGGAAGGTCCCCATTGCACCAGACTGTCCAAACAGACTGAAATAAAGATGAGCAACTGCTCCAAGTGACTAGCACAGTATGGTTGCAAGTTCTCAACCAAAACTGGGAATTCTTAAATTTCTTCGGTGAAGTCAGCTATATTGAACATTTGTAATAATTTGCTTTTATTTCAGATTCCAAGTTAAATACAGCCTGTATTATTTGCTATGACTAAACATGAATAACTGCCAAACATTTAGAAAACCTGAGTGACCACAGAAAATTCCAGCCCAATAGGGCCAACAAATAAGGAAATACTAAAATATCGTTAAAATTTGCCTTTATTTTTCTTACAGGAGAATTTGACACAAACCAAAGTAATTCCGTTTTACAAGACTCTTTTCCTAATATACTAAATTTTCAAGAGGATCATGAACAGTATAAAACTGTAAATAACGTCTCCTGTTGAGGGCTACAGCAACGTTTCTTCAGTTGCTGTAATCTTGGAGAGCCTGAGCCATGAACAGCTTGCCCAGGTTCTGTGCGTTGAACTCCTTAATATTCTGGCAGTAGGTATTAATTTGACCTGTCAATAGGAAAGAAGAGTAAACCCTTGTCAGTTTTGAAATTCAGAAAGACATCCTAGAATATCATTTTTAAAAAGCCAAATGTGCATGAATCTTTCAGGATTTATACAGAGAAGCAACCAAAACAACCACTCTACACTTGAGAATTTTACATTTTCAGTAGTCCCAAGTAAGTCAGGGAAGAAGAAGAAACTCAATTAGCAGAATAGGTAAACTGGTATGCTCAAAAAAATCCTTCCTTTTCCTACAATTCTATTAAATAGAATTCCTGAAAAGACAAATGACAATAAAAAGAATAAACAATGCTTGTTGCTGTACTGGAAGCTTAATCACATTAATTGTGCAATTTAGTTGCTCTAAAAATACTAAAAGACTGATTTTCAGTTTTGTTCTTATGCTTCTGCTGTCCCTATTGAAATATTTGTAACAAATATTTTTCTGTAGCAGATAGAAAATTGTGGTACTCCTGTTTGACACTTTGCTGGCCTTTTTTTCCACCTAATATTTCACTTTATTAGCTATTTCAAAAATCATCAGGGTACGAAGACTTGTCAGTGCTTTACAAATCAAACGTGCCCATCAAAACATTTTTATACACGTACTGCTACAAGTTATTTCCCTTGTTAGCTAGAAATAGCAAAATATGAAGCCAGTTTAATCAAAATTAAGACTGTTTAGAAGGCCAGTAAACTCTCAGTTTAATGCTCTATCTGAAAAGCTTTTAAACGCCCTAGAGACAAAAGAGCTAAGTTTTATTCTTTATCCACAAACTTTACTTCATCTAAGTTGAAGTGGATGCTTTCAATTCTTCCCCTGACTATGGTAAAAGAACAAACAAAGAGAGTGCTTTGGCTGAAAACTGTTTTTTCCTTTAAGTATAATAGTTTTCAATTACTCCTCTTATAAGACATGATTCATCCTAAGCCATCACTTTCACAAAACACACGCATGTACACACATACACACTTCTGTTGCATTTTTAAGCTATGTTAAAGCTGAATGTTTAAATACTATAATTCTGCTAGGATTCATTAACTGGTAAAAACTATCAAAACAACAGGTTTTTTGAAAGACTCTGGAAGGAATAATAAACCAAGAACATTATTCCTTCTAAAAGCAGCACTTACTACCAGTGTAAAACAGTAATAATATTAAAATAATAATCTCTTGGTCACTCCAAAATTTAAAACTTAAATTTAAACACTTTTTAAAATGTCAAAGTACTCTTTTTTGTACACTAAATTACCAGGACTGGTTTAATTTTCTCTCACTACAAAACAAGGTCATGTCTAACCAATCCAAAAAGCCCGCTGTAGTTAAACAATTTGCTTTCTCATGACATTTGCCAAATTAGATTACTTAGAAGGGCATCTAGGTTTTCTGCAATCAGTTGCCACTGTAAGGTCCCAGATATTTTTACCCTCCCAGAAGGCACAGGACAGGCACTGACTTCTGTACCAACCTGTGGCTACGTACTGCAGCATACCAGTAAATTGAAGAAACTGGGGAGGGCGGGAGCTACACTAATGCTTTGCTCCTATTCCCATTTTCATTCACCTTGGGGTGCAGGAAGATAGGGTTATTTTCCCTAAAACTCTGGCCATAGAAAACAAAGAAATTATCCTGATTCTGTGTGAAATTAAAAGCAAAATCTTCTCAGCTGCTGCAACCACCAGTTCAACAGCTAGGGATGTTACTGGTAACTGAGGGCTGCAGACAACTGCTCTGCTCTGACCCAGTGGTTCCAGCCCACCCAGCTTACTGCTGCCTCTTGTCTGGACAGCCCCCGAACACTGGGAGTCAGCAGAGGGCCTGGGGGATGAGTGCAGCGAGCAGCTTACCGACTGCAGTGGTCACTGCACCCATTCGTGCAGAAAGCCTGCCCCGTGGGGCATTTCCCCGGCTCTCCTTTAAAATCCCATTTCACCCGCTCAGAACGGAGCCATGAAGAGGGTCTGGCTGCAGCTCCTGCCCCGTCCCACCAACCCAGGAGGCACAGATGAATGACGAAGAGCTAGGTACCATGGCAAAATAAGAAATAAAGACAGAAAGTCTCCATACATCAAGTTTAAAGCTTTATGCAGCCATTTGGGTTAAACACAGTGGCTTGTTTTCAAAAAATTACACATGTTCCGATCTGCATGGGTCACATGGCTCTGTTACTTACCTAGATAGTTTCAAATTCTGTGTGGAAGCTCACTTTCTAACAGAGGCATGGACTGCCTATTAGTAATAAGGTTGTTTTTCTCAGCTACCTTCCTTTTTTCCCACTACTTCAGATATTAGGGCTGTAGGTCACAGGTTGAAACCACTGCCTTGGACCAAATGAGAGGCAGTATTTGGAATACTACCAATGCCAAAATATCACACCATAACAGCAAAGGTAACCAAAAATTAAGATGATTTCTAAGGCAACAACTGCACTTCTTCCCAAGCTAACATTCATATATGAAAAGACGAGTTGAAGAGGGTGCTAGGAACGTTACCTGCAATAAGGAGTGACTCCATTCTTGGAGGCGGCTGTGGTGGTTTAAAGAGTTTATTGATGTCCTCCTCAGGAAGAGGGGCTTCTCCTCGGCTTTGACGCTGCATATTTTCTTGCTGACGTCTCTGCTGGTACTGAAAATAAAGCAACAGAAACAGAATGCAACAGGACTTCCAAAGCAGCAAAAAATTTTTCTTTTCAGATGCTCTTTACCTAACCAGCAAATATGTTTTATGAATTATAGTTACTCAGTGCAATCCAGTTTATTTCAAATAATGCAAAAAAAAAGCCTCCCCCCCCCCGCCCCCCCCCCAAGCTTGCATCATAAAATGAGTGAGGCACTAGGAAATATGTAGTACTGAGGTGGTAGGGTTAATTATAAACATTTTTTCATAGACACAAATACTGTATCTGATGGAAAGAATACAGCAAGATAAATAAAGTCCTCCATTTCCCCACTCAAAAAAAAGAAAACACGCTTGTAACATGTGGGTATGAGAAGCCATTACCTCAAATAGTTACAGCAGAAATACTCAATTTTATAGAAGTTAAAGGTCAAAATAATATTAATGTGAAAGGCAAAGAGAACTTGATTGAACAAGGTATTTTAAGCCAAACAATATTAACTTTAAACTGAGAACAAAGTGGCAGCTGAAACAAAGCATAATGGTTCATTATTCCATTCCAGTTATTTAGATGTTCTGCCACTCTGAGGGTATTTCTTTGTGGGTTACCAGAGGATAAACTAGAGTAGCAGTTCATAGAAATTATTCTGCTATTAAAAATAAAAAAAAAACAACAACACAGATTTGTTTTCAGTGCTTCCCTTTGACATGTAGATTACTCGAACTTTATAAAAATCAAGGCAGACCATTTCTTCAGCTACTGGATAAACATTTGTTCTTGCAGAAGTGCATACATTCAGACACACATATGTGAGATTTCGTACTGTATGTCACAGCCAGAAATTAGTTGTAGGGTTTGTCTATCAAAGCCCTTACATTCAAAAAAAAAAAAAAAAAAAAAAACTCTTTAAAACTAACAGGCCAAAGAGTACAGGATGTTTTCTCTCACTTACTTAAATGTATCTGCACACAAGAGTCTTGAAAACAGTTCATGCTTGGTGGCATATTCAAATGAAGTAATTTTTTTTCCAGTAGTACTGACAAATACATGTTTTTGGACAACGTTAAAAATAAAATCTTAAATGCCCATATTTGTATGTGAATTGCATGTAGTTTCTTCTTTCTGTGCATTACCCCACTCACTTCTCAGCAGTCTGCCTATTATTCTCTATTGAAACGGCTTGCTCTTAATCACAGTTGCTCCATTTTAAAAATAAAGTTAAGACCACTAACTATGCTGCCATGAGCCACTACTAAAGCAGCTATAGTTAGTAAAGAAATGAAGTGAGACACCATGGAACCTACTTTGCTCTGCTTTTCAAAATAAAAAGATCCCCTCATTATTAACAAAAACCTTTGAAGTGGATGCCATCTTTCTATTCAAATTAGGCAGCAAAGCAAAAAAAGCTTTCTGAAGATAACATGCATGAAGCTTTCTATGTCCTCAGGAACTACAAAGCCAGGAGAGACCACTGATCATGTGCGGCTTCCCTAGAAGCTACACTTAAGTGATAAAAGCCAATTTTGATTTTAAAATAGTCAGTGATGAAGCATTTCACATGAAACACAGGTGCTCTTTTTAATAATTATCTACTTTGTGTAGCAATAGCTGCAATATTTTATCTTTAAAATAGCCTGGTCCATTTTCAGTTGGCCGATACTGAATCTTGTCATATCTCTGTCTGCTAGATTAAAGAGTTCAGATTTATTTTTCATGCAGGTACTTCTTGAGTAAGCAAGTCACTCATTAACTTAATTTATCACGTGAAGAGAACTGTGTTCACTAAGACCTGCTTTCCAGGCTTTTAAATCATTCTTATAGTGCTTTTTTCCAATTTACTAGCATGCTTCTATAATTAGACACAGTACTGCTTCAACAAATGCAGCAACAGCAAATAAAGCAATACTGTCTCCAAATCACAGAACGGTTGAGGGTGGCAGGGACGTCTGGAGGTCACCTTGTCCAACCCCTCTGCTCAAGCACAGCCACCTAGAGCCGGACTCCATACTCTGTATTCTCTAGTCAGACTATTTTGGATTATGAGAGGCCCTTTGGCATCAGGAATTAAAAGTCAACATCACCTGACCAGTATCACTATCTACTGATACAAAACATGACTACAATGTCATCTGATCAGAGAACAGTTCGCTGTCTATTACATACGGACTATGCTTCTTTATCTCTAGATGCATGACTACATGCGATGGTATTAAAACACGGTTTGTTTTGGAACAATTCACTTGTAGTTTCAGCTCTTTCATTTCATTTACTAAATCTCTAATCCCTGTGTCCACAGTGTATTTATCAACGATTGGTTTATCATAAATCACTAACAAACACATAAAATAGCAAAGAAAGACCAGTCTACACTACGTATCAGCACAATTGAATCCATTTGATAATTCCTCACTGACTAGCACATTTTATAAATCTACTTAATGGATAAGTTTCTGTAAGAATTTTATCTTGCTTAGATGCAAATTCATCTGTCTTAGATAACACCACCAAAACCATGTTTTGTGGAAAAAAGCCCTCTCATTCAGGCTTTCCACGTTACCAACCTGGTGTTTCTGCTGCTGCTGTTTGCTTACATTCCTCAGGTAGGTATTGTATTTAACAATGTCTTGGCTCATCTCATCCACTCTGTCCATCAGCAGCTGCAGACTCTTCCCTAGGTGATTACTGAAATACAAGAAACATTTATGAAATACTGAATTTATTTAAAAAAAAGATTTAAAATCTAAAATTCATTTCAAGTCACTTGACCAGCATTCTGCACCACTGGCACAGATTGTAAACTTTTAAGTTCTTTGTTATCTTTGTTCATATATTTATTTGACAATACTTTACACGGCATCTCCTCCTCTCACATCTTTGCCACATTGCAAATACCATATATAAGTGTTTTGGTCTTTGCAGGGAACCTCATAGTTACGAAAAAACAATGCCTTGCATGAATCTACTGATATTACAGATACAGGTCAAGCATTTAAAAGAAACAGTCTGAGGCTTTTGTGACAAGCAACCCTGAACAATGTTACAGCAGATGTGTTCAAAGAGTTTGGTTTCAAGTTACTGCTAGCTTTTTCACGAATATTTAACTATCCCTCTGCAGAGATAGTTAAATATTCTTCAGAATTCCATCTCATTAACTAGTCTATCAAACCACGCCTGGAAGTTCACCAGACATCGCTTGATCTTAGCTGGTGAGAGGGAGTGTTGCGTCCAGTTCAGCCAGCTCCACATTCCATACCATCGGCAACATGGAAGCAGCTAGGCTGGGCGCGTCCAGTTCCAGCTATGCAATCTACTGCCTTGGCCAGACAAATGCAGTCTGTTAAACAACTTTTATTGTAACCATTTTTAGCAATGGATTCAGTATTTTGCAGGAACGTTCAACTTCAGGTATAGCTTCCAAGTTAAAGTTTTGGAAGTTTTTAGGTTGGTGCCCATGGAGACAGTATTCATCCTAAATTGTGTTTACAGGGTAGTGCAGTAAAACAAGGATACTTACTGCTCTCTCTTGATCCCTTTGATCAGAAGCTAGTTTGTTGGCTCTGAGCTAAGCCTTACCCAGTCCTACCTGGCTAAAGACCAATGACTCAAAAAGCTAAACTCCATCTTTCTGCTCCTCAAGTGAAGTCCACTACTATTCATGAGAGTTTCTTTCAAATAAAGACTTTGGTGCACTTTTATGTCAGAATCATATCCTTCAGTCACTGCTTCTCCAGGTTATCTGAGATTCTTTCTGCCTTTTACAATGGGCCCCGATCACCCTACAGCCTATGGACTAGGGAGACTAACTGGAAGAGACAGGCATAAAGCGAAAAGGGAACCACACATGCAATACTATGCACATCCCTTTTTAAGTGCAAATTATTCCCCAAATCCACAGAACTCCTAGCTGGAGACAGAAGCTGGTAACGTACTGAGGCACTAGAGGATACCTGCTGAGAATGTAGCTCAAGACACCCTTATCTCCAAGTACCAAGACAGCCATTTCACTAGCTGAGCTGCCTGCTCACTGAACAAAAGGCTGAATCAGTAACTTCAGACCACAATTTATTTACAAGTCACAGTTTTAAGTCTCAGTTGCATACAGGGGCATATGGTGAGGAGGACTTCAGCTACACAGCAAGAAAGGCGCCACTATAATAATTATTTTTAAACTTCTTGGGTTTTTTTCGGTTGAACATTTCAAGCACATGATATTTAGAACTGTGGAATATTGCCATGGCTAGGGGTGTGCATATTTTCAGTTTTTTATAGAGTTTATACTATACAGAGTTACTGTTAGAACTGGATATTATCAAAAATGCTTATGTAGGTACACACTAATAGCCTTGTAGGGTATGTGGACATCAGGAATACATAATTATTTTACAGATAGTGTCCACATGAAATATAGGCTGGTTACAAAGAACGATTTTATGTGAATCTCTCTGGGACCAGCTTAGTACAGCAGAATACAGAAACAGAGAGTTATTGTTAGAAGTTGCAGTAATATAGTGTTTGCGCTCATTGCCAGGGAAACAAAAAGCTAAAAACAGATAACTTAAACAGATGTGGACTGAGACATGAAGTGATAAGTATGCTGCAAATACAGGACCAGCTTTTTCCTCAGTTCTCATGTGGTTGATACCCTTTTTTGCTCTGTCTCTTAAAAAAACCTGAAAGACCCAATAGGAAGCAATTTGTAAAAATGTCTATATATAATGTTTAAGCAAGTTTTATTCAGCTGAAGTTTATTCTGGTGAGATTTAGGCAGTTAAATCGCATTGCTCCAGCCCATAAGACTCCTCATACACTTACTTAGCCCAAAGGCTCTCTTAGGCACCTCCTTACCTTGTGTATTCCCCTTCAGCAGATCCCTCACTGCTAGGTACCTAAATGCCCCCTACACACCAATGCAACTAAAACAATAGAGGGGAAACAAAATTGAAAAAAAAGGGGTGCCAGGAAATGCTGCTCACACACCCATCAAGACTCACTTTCCTACAAGGCTCTCTGACAGTGAAATGTAGACAACGTGGAGATCAGCACTTGCATTTGTTGTTACCCTGAGGGCAATGGTAATAAAGAAACGGCGTTTTCAGTCAGCTGATTCAGCAAAAGAGTCAATTAAATTGAGTTTACATTTAGATTAGGGAGTAGTGTAGACCAACAGGAACAGATCTATAAAACAAAACAGCTGGCGCTGAGAAACCAAGGTCCACACTACGTGTGTTTCAGGGGCGTTTCCTATCACTAGTTCTGACATGGTCCAGTGATGTGAAACCCCATTAGTGGCTGAGGCACAGTAGGTATCCTCCTAAAGCCTATTTACAGTTTAGTTTCATCTGAAAGAAGTCAGGTCTGAGATCACTGAGAGGTGATGATCCGAGCACGCTGTTGAATTGATGTAAAAGACATAGCTCCACCTTAAGACAGCACCAGGAGACCACCACAGCTCAGGTATCGGTGAATCCTCATGGCAGAAAATTATCAGCTGCAGAATTGCTATCATACTAAGCATAAGAAAGTCCACGCATGGGGACTGTGTTCTTTTTAGGGGAGAAATATAGATAATAAAAGTGGAAAAAAAGAAGAATAGAGCTTCTCCTGCAGTCAAAAAAATCTGTCATGTGCATTCTTACACATCTAATGAAGAAATAATCAGATGTGAGAGCATTCCTTCACCAGAATTGTTATTAGGATCACTCACCTGTAGTGAACGAGCTGTAAAGCCTCCAAAAATTTATCATCTGAGACTTACTTGTGTAGCTTGGATGACATAATCAAAAATGCCAAAAAAAGTACAAACACATAGCAACTGTCCAAGGGAAACTGTCAAAGTCTGTTTAGAAAAAAAACAGACTAGAAAGTATAGCCTGCAAAGCAGTCTCTCATGCTGTGCACTTTTGTTGTAACAGCCTTATATCTGATAGGGTATGATCCGTCACCCAAAAGGGCAGATATGAAATCAAGTCCTTGACACATTCATTACTTCTGATTCCTTGTTTAACAATCACCAAATACACAGGTCAAATAATTCTGAGGGCGAGAAGTAGAGACCTGTGAACAGAGCAGCCTAATCCGCAGATAACAGTCATGGTCCTTTCTGTCTTGTTCTTCCCGCTGGTAAGCCTTGCATTTGGCCATGTTATGGTCTAGCAGCCACAGAAGCAGCAAGCAAGAACCATACATTAACCAAACTCGCGGACCACTCACTGCACAAGGGCATCCTGTTAGGGTACGGATCTGGCTCAGAGACCCGAACGCAAGCCTCCCTCTTCCCGAGGGGAATGCTTGCACCACCAGAGCCTCCCTTTGCAGACATATTTTAAGGAGAGCAAAGGTGCAGTTTGCTGTTGCTGGCAAAGCCAGTTTGAGAGGTTCCAGCATCGGCATCTTCCCGCCTCTCCCCCCGACTTTGCCCAAGGATCACAGCGCTCTCAGCTGTATGGATTCAGCTGTTTGCGTGGGCACACTTCAAACCCTTTCAGTGAAATAGTCTACTGTAAATGCAAAAACATCCCCTGATGGGGTTTGGTTTTTTTGGTTGGGTTTTTTTTGCGCCCTTTTTTTTTTTTTTTTAGGAAGACTGAGGGAAAGGCTGGAAGGGAAGAGTGGGAGCCTGCCTTTTTCCACGAGACTATTCCACAAAGCTATTTGTACAACCATATTCTGAAACAGATGAGGGAATAAAAATCTTTGAGGGTGTGAAGGGTGCAGAGATGAAACGGGGGTAGCGGGAAGGAATGATGCAAGCAGCTGGGGCTGGAACCTCAAACTGGCTCCGCTTCTGTGGGATTCGTAATGGGGAACTACACATGAAGCCCACGTTTACTTCAGCATCTTCAGTCAGGAAAGGACTCCAGACACACACTCGCCAAAGGTCCGATATGCCCAAAACGCAGCCTGGAGTCAGACACCAAAGCTTCAAAGGGCGGCAGCAATTCACGCCGTCCTCAGCTCCTCACGCCCTGCTCGTTAGTTTTATCCTGCAGCCTGTGGGCCTCAGCTTGCGCTTCGGGAGCCGCTCACCAGTCCGCGCTGGCCCAGGAGAGGAGCAGCAGCAGAGCCCAGCCTCCGAGACCCGGACCGTTGCGCTCCGCACAGGCACTTCATTTTGGGGTGTAACGATTCTGAAGCTGCGGGTGTCCAAAAAAGATGGTCCCCTAAACTAGCCTGCAATCGCCGTAAATGGACCCGCTCATTTGTTTCATTTTATTTCGCTTGCATCCTGGCTAAGGCAGCTGAGAACAGGAAGCAGCAGGAGGGAGCGTAAGCAAACACTGTCTCGGCTGCCCCGCTTTCCCACTTTCCACCAGCTCTGCCGAGGCCCCTGTCAGAGCCACTGTTTTTGGGAAAGGTGTCACCCTGTGCAGCGTTTCTCCTCCTGGTAGGAACAGCTTTGGGTGGATTACAGAGGTAGTGCTGGGCAAAGCACATCTTTTTGATTAAATATTTCTAAGGAGCGTTCCCACCGCTTAGCAGAACTTGTTTACACCTCAGCATTTCAACCCGAGTTCAACCTGTGCTCTTTATAAGAGGATTTTGTTTGAACGAGATATGTAAGTCAGGAGTTGGGAGCTCTATTCCCTCTTCTACTCCGACTTTGATGTGTGCCTTTGGGCAACACATTTACCCTCTCTGTGTCAGCTTCCCCCATCTGCAAATTAGAGATTTTCATAATTATCTTAATAATCCGCTAAGCACACTGAGATTTCTGAATAAGCAGCACAATGTATAAAGGTTAATATTGTTTTCAAAAGCCCAAGTAACCCCCTCTTATGTCACTTCTGCAAAAATACTGCATCTGATGTTTGAAAAATATAGCTGCCAAGTAGATGTTACTGCAGTAAATGTTCAGCACATGTTTGCTTCTACTGACGCACATTATTAGAAAAATTGCTTGAGACAAATTGAGATATTATAGAACAACCCTATTATGGAGCTAGACCACAAAAAAGCTTTTTTTAATTTAAACTAGATCATCAATAGAATAGGGAAGAGATGGATGAGAATGGGAAAGTTGGTTGTAATTATTTCTCTGAAGATCTGGAACATTATCTGACAGGATTTTAATTCTTGAGTCTCTATCAAAAGACTGGCAGTACTCCAAGGTCTTCAAGACATTTTGGTCCTTAAGGGTAGCAGGAGGATAACAGTTTGAGCGAAAGGTCTTTGCTTGCTATTACTTGCTAGCCTTGTGCTAGTCTGCCTTCAACTTCTTTCCCTCGAATATTCCAGTCAATTCAGATTTCACAGAAACACAAATTTTTGCCCAAAAGAGTAAACTACTCCATACAATTATCGCAAATGTAACAAATGTACTTCAAAAGGAGAAAGATATTAAGGTGCAGACAAAGCACCTAAAACAGGTACAGCTTCAAACTCAGACAAGGTGGGTGGCTGAACATGTGAGAAGCTTGATGAAACAAACTCTCTGGAGGAGACGAACTATGGGTAAATAATTTCATTGCCAAAACCATTGCTTCAGAAGATTAAAAAAGGTTCAGAGATGCTCCCAAAGGACCAAAAACAAAAAAAAAAACCACCCAAAAAAACTCCCCCAAAAAAACCCAAAAAGCCCAACCAACCCCAAACCCTTAAAAAAAAAAAAAAAGGTAGCCTTAAAGTTACTGCCAACTAATTCTACAACAGCAAAGTTAAGCGAGGCGGATACACATCAAAATTAAAAGCTGATATCTGAAGTGTTTTAGCCACAACTATTCAAAGACAAAAATAAGGAAATGCAAAGCGAAAATAAAACTCCACAATAACGGGGGTTTGAACTCCCCTACTTCAGGCAATATATTCTTTGACAGAGAAATCTTCATAGCTGAATTCAAGTAAAAACTAGTTAAATATTTCAGCAGGCAGTATAAGTCATCCTAACTTGAATAAATGAGCTTTAAAATACTTTAATTTGCCAGCTGCTGAATTATAGCCATGTAAGATATCGCTGAAAGTAACCTGCACGGCAAAGCTATCAAATATTAAAAAAACAAGACATACACAAAAACCTCCAAATAAACCCACTGGGGTAATTTCCAAAACTTTCTCTCCTTCAAACCAAACTAAGCACCTTAAATTCGTCAAACAGACCGGGCAAGCCAGAAGAACGCTGTCAGCAAAGTCAGTTCAGGAGATATCATTCAGAAATACCTCTGAAAGCTGATGAATCTGTTGAATTAGTTCCCCATTAGTGGGAAATTCTGGACTTCAATAAGCTCAAGAAATTGCTGCCAGTATATAGGACAGTAACTGGGTAAGTTCAAAGAAACACATCTAATTGAAAAGGCACTTTCAACCACGTTTTATCAAGAATCCAGTGCCACCTGTGTCATCGTCAAGAACAGCGCTGCACTGCTCCAAGAAAACATCCATGGAAAAGAAACTTTGATTCACTAAGAAAAAAGTTATCCCTTTTTTTCTTAAACACAAATGATGAAGTTTCTTTTTTCTTTTGGGCTCGTGCTTTTCTTGTTCACTTCTCATCGTGTTTACTGACACGACAACCAACACAAAAGCCTGTCTTGCACCAGACTATTAATACCATCATTCCAGAAAGGAAATTAATTTGTACCATTTCTTAGCTTTTATCTTGAGTAAGGGCAGTGGTACAGACCAGTTACTACGTAAGATGCAAAGCTGATGAAAAACTTCAACTGTTGTTTGTGATTTGTTCAAATGAATTTCCATTTCCAGAATTGTATTGCGTGATCAGCAGCAGCCTGTGCTAGGATCCAGGGTGCTGGGTAATCCCAAGCCTTTTTACGGGAGCAAACCCACAGGGACAATCAAGGGCAATGTTGTCAGGTCACCTGGAAACCTGCTGTGTCCTCCTTTTCACAGTACAGTGGTAGAGCTCATAAGGAATCACTGTCGTCTCCTACACCCAGTGCACACTCTCTCCTCAGATGGCAAAAGCTTCGTGATCTTTGACCAAGGAAAAAGCCTGACAGAAAGCCTGCAAAGTCAAGCAGACTGAACATCATGGCAAAAATTCTTCACTTTGTTAAGTCCAAGGTGCAAAGTTACAACTTTCCTGGACAAAATGATTGACTAAGTATCTCTTGCGACCTTTGTAAATTCCCTGGCACAGTTCAACCCTATACCTGTTCTCTCTTGACCAATTTCTCTAAAAGCTATCAGATCCCTCAATACATCCACATAAGCTTAAGTAAAGGAACTAGAGTGGAAAATTTCTGCTAACTCAGGCGACATATGCACCACGAGCAATACGGATCCATTAACAACAGCCTTACATGATAGGGGGAGCGGAAAAAAGGAAAAGAGGCCGCTAGTATTCAGCTAACTTGGTTGTCAGAGGGGATCAGAATCTTGGCAGACAATACCTTGGCGTAAAAAGAAAGTGTTACACCCCAAAAACATATTAGTGAATCCATCCCAGTTTCTGCATACACAAAATGATGCAGTATCTTGTTGCATCTGGTTATTTTGTTCGGCCCCAATAATAATCCAATTAACTGTACTGTGTTGTGTAAGATTTAAGCACCACCAGATTTCTGATCATACTGCTAGAGATCATGCCTGTGTTCTTATCATAAATGTATTTTCAGGGCAAAGTGCTACAAGACTAAAAAGTTATTCTTAGATAAAGTTATGAGAAGATCATTCTAGAACTCTTAAATGATTTCTGACATCATGAAGGCTGACTGGTATGACAATCAGTCTGAGCATTTTTGCCAGTTTCTCAGATAAAAGCTTTATTATCTTATTTTCATTGCTACCAAAGTAGAAGAAATGCAATTTATTTTTTATTAAAATAATTTATAGAATTACTTAAGGAATATTTAACAAAACCCACTTTTATTTCCAGACCTATTTGCCCGAACTTTCTGAATGCCAGTATTTTCCTGAAGAAAAATACACTACTGAAAAGATTATACACTTTAAGCAGTACAGGTATATATGGATTAGAGGCTGAATTTAGTCCTTGAATGTAATGCTGTAGTTTTACCATGCAGTTTTTCCTTCAGCAAAAGAACATGAAGGGTAAAGTCTTAACCCCATTAAAAGTCAAGGCAAAGCTTCCATGGACTGTAATGAGACTGGGATTTCACCCAAGGTGTTAAACTGTGGTTTGGGAAAGCGAATAAAAATACAACCATTATTGTAACAAGTACTTACCTGCTAGCCAGACTGAGCAATTCATGTCTATCGGCTACTGCGGATTTCTTTTCCAGTTCCCACAACATCACATTGATCAGGTATGAATTCTTAATTACAATGGGCACTTCTTCAAACATGTTTTTAAAAGCTATGTTTGCTTTTTTCAAGCTGTGAAAAAAGTTTAAAAATATATATTAATATAAGCAGTAATTCGCTTGTTCTTTTGGTTGAATTGTTGCTCCACAACAATCGGCAGTTTTGTAAAAACTCTTGGTTTTTCACAGTTCCACAAACAAACAAGAGTCAAGTTTTGGTAAGAGAGCATTTGCATGGCAAAACCTCACGTTTACCTAGCAAAAGCTGCTCTAGGAAAAACTCTCAGAAGTCAAGCAGCCATTCTGCTTGCTATTACATTACTTACACGAAAAAGCCTCCAGCAAAAGACTGCACTGAAAGGATTAACTCTGCCCCTTCCAAAGTATTTTACTGATCTCCCTGCCATCAGGGATTCTTAAATAGAAGTGAACAGTTAGTTACCACATGACACTGAAATACCTTTAAAATCCTAACTACTACAATGAAAAACAATTTTCCCAATATCAGAATAATTTACTGACCAAAAATTAGATCGACAAAATAGTGTGTTCTGGAATATATGATTTCCATAGTGGATATTAAAATATAATTTTTCAGTGTATATTTTTTTTACAATATGCACATAAAAACTGTTGTTATTGCTTTATAATAAAGTAGACAGTAATATCTTTCATAAAATCTGGACATAAAGGCATGATCTAAGTTTCTAAGGAAACAGATCTGTAACTGCTTTGTATGCATACTGGATTTTGGAATAAAAAACTTCTGCTTTTTGCCTTTTTTTTTGTTTTTCTTCCTTTTTTTATTCTTTTTTTTTTTTTTTGACTAAGCACATTTTTGTTTGTTCATCATGGAAAAGTTATGTTTAGACACCAAGCAATGAAATGATTTTGGTTTTCCTCAACGAAGAAAGTTTAACAAGCGCTTGAGCTTTTGCCGTTGAACACCAAGCTGTCTGAGAAAAAAGATGACAGCTAAGGCCTACATCTATTACAAGCGGCTCATCTTTTGCAACACACTAATTATCCTACTTTACTCTAGAAGATTGTGTCCACACGGGGGAGTTAATTTGGAATAAACACAGAAGAACTGCTATTCCAGAATACCTGTTCAATTTTCCTTCTGGAAAAAAAAGAGCTTAATGACAGACCAGCTATTTCCCCTTCTCCATTTCTTTTTTTAAGTTTTTGACTCTGTTCCCAGCACCATGGTCCTTGCAGCCAGCGAGCCTGTTGACCACCTCCAAAATCAGTTCGAGTTCCACCACTTCAGCCCTTCTTTAGATGCGGAGTTTCACGCCTTCTCAGCCCACTGTACCAGTACACATCTATCACTACCCATACACATCCAGTTTCACCAGCAGACACTATTACCTGCAATTTTAAAATACAGTATTTCATCATCCCGTGTACCCTTCTGCCTCCCAAATAATCCAGCAAAATCTATAAGAAAACATTCTTTTAAGTTACTTACGCTTCTGGAGAGAAGTCTTTTTCTTTGCACACTTCCATCAGTTTGGGAGTCAGCCTATATGCCTTTAGTGACAAAGACCCTTGGGCAGTCTTAATGGGATCTACAATTAACAATGGAGGAAGAGCATTACTGCTAACCCCAGATTGCCTTTTTTTTTTTTTAATATCTGAATGATGTAAACAGGAGGAAAATAACTAAGCAGACTTACTAAAAAAATTAAGACAACCAAGACAGAGAAGACACTATAGTGGAAGTAAACCTATTGTACCAAAATGTAAAATACATCCAACTATATACAGTGAAGCTAATTAATAAATTTAACTTGGAGAACGTGGGGGGATCTAGACTCATTCTACTCACAACATTATTTCCCCATTAAAGGTCCAATTCACATTTTTTCTTTTATTTCATATGACCTAACCATAGAACTTAGGTAAGAGCTACCTCACTTAAATAAAAAATTTTTCCCTCCAGTTGTTATGCAGTAAATTAGAACATTCATTAAACCACATTTTGTACAAAAACATTCCTAATTTTAGAGTAGCAATAAGCTAATTCGGATCAAGTTGCCCCGCTGCTTTGTGCGTAACAATGTAACTGGTGTATAAAAAGATTAGTTTTGCCCTGACTTACTCAACTGAATTTAGGGGGAAATTTTCTAAACAAACTGTTACATTCCTAGGACAAAGAAGCTTAACACTTGCTGCATGATAACGGCTGAAGCATGCCAACATGAGAATAAAAGCTGTGTTAACATTCATGTTGTCTGAAACTTAACACAGTAAAACTTTTAGCAATCGGTGATAAAATAAAAACCAAAATAGACTGAAACAAGTGGAAAATTCATCAAGGTCTGATGATGCAATGTTTCCAGCCAATATAAGTATACTTTAACAACTTGTTCTTTACTGTAATCCAATTGTTAACATACTGAAACAATTTTGGGGCAGCTCATAAGATTGATCGTATTCATTAGTATTTTTTCTGACAGATACTCAGGACGTTACATTTACTTCTCAGCTGGAAACTATATGCAAGTCTGCCAGATATGGCAAACTGTGAGTGTTTGGGGAGGGGGAGGCTATAAAGCTGTTAAATTGCCTACGGTTCTGATACAGCACAGAACATCTGGTCTGGAGAGCTTGAGGAAACACCATTAAATAGGCAGAAAAGAAAAAAATCTTTGTGCTAAGAAACAGTCCAGGTTTTGTATGCTTCTGTCAGAGGCAGAAAAAAAACTTGGCAATTCGTGCGACGATTGGTCAGTCACGTACAGAGCCAGACATGCTAGCAAGCGGGGTTTGTTAGACATCTGGTCGGGTTCCACCAGCCCCTTCCACGAGGGAGGGGAGATGAAGGAATAAAAATGAAGCAGCTACTCCAGCATTCCAAAACGTACACATCAGGGCTCTGATAGCAAGAAAAATAAACAGAAAGAAGGAAACCCTGTCTAGACTTCGCTGCTGCTGAGGCTGCCGTAGACACAGGGGTGGTATTTACTCGAAAAGGCCTGCCAGGCTACTCTTACAGGCAAAAGACAGAATACAAAAATAGTAGTAATAATATTAAGAGGGGAAAAGAATAATAAAGGAAACCTCATACTAACCGTAAATGAGAACTACAGACTCCTCAATTGCGTGCTGGTAACTGAACTGGGAGTCCAGGAGGGCACGAGTGACAAAAGAGCCATAGTACGTGGACTGGTACCAGCCAACGTGAAGATGATCAATGTTTACGTGGCGAAGGCTTCGCATCATCTCCATCTGGTACTGAACTAGATTAAATAAAGAGCATGTTTAAAAAGTCAACTTACACAATCTGTACTATTTCAAGAGAGAGCTTGATATTAAATGAGTAACTGTATTTTATTTTATTTTCATTTTTGCAACTGCATGGAATTTTGTTTATTCACTGCTGGATCGTCTTCATTCAAATCCAGAGCTTCCTCAGAGAATGAGTGTAAGACTAACCTGAGTAAGCAGACTTTATTCAGCTGCAGTTAATTGGCGAAGTGATCAACAAACTGTTACACATCATTTACAGTGTGTGTTACCTTGCTCATTCATAAAAAATAATCTGATACTGGGTTTCATTAAGCCGTAACATTTCATTATTTGGTAACAAAGAAATATGGTTATTTCAGTTTAAATACTGTCAGGAATTAGATAACTTTGGGAATCAAAAGGAGAATTATTTAATAAGTGTAAGTATAGAAGATAAGCTACTTATGTCATTTTCAAAATGTAAAATGTTTGGGGGACCAGCTATAGCAGTCAGATAGTTTTGATTGCATTTATCTTCAATTTCTCAACACTGTTTCTTCTTTTTAGACATATACAAATGCATAACTATGCATGTATGTATATATTACACATAATACATACACATATTTATATACAGTAAGTTACCTTAGACAGTAGAGTACATTTTTTGTCAGACTTTCTACACCAACAGCTGTAATGTTTCATTGTACCAACACATAAATCCCGTTTCTACCAAATGCTTCATTCAAACAGATTGCCCAGATGGAACAGAATTCTATTCAGGAATGTTTAACATAACCCCATTTGAGCAGATCAACACACCTTACCACTTCTCAGACCTTTTAAACAGGCAGACACTGCCTGCTGGTTAAATTTAACGAAACAGATTTCAGTGTGATTATCGGATCAACCAATGCTCGCAGTCAGCTGATGGGAAATCAAATGCAACAACACTACGCACTCCTTAAGTTCTGTCTGCAGATGCAAAATTTACAAAGATTAAAAAAAAACCCTCCTATGCATTCATTTTTGTTAATTTTTCAAGCTTCTTGTGTAGATGAAAATATGATATCCATTATAAAAGAAAGGAACATTAATTAGAAGACAGAATGTGCTGCGTTTTCAGATCTCATTTCATATCCTTTCGAGAGGAAAACAAAAAAATCCAACCATATTCTTTAAAGATACGAGGAGCCATTTTTCAAGATTGGACAAATGTTTTTCCAGCTTATCACCCTTACAGCACAAACTGCAGTCTGCTGGCCCTTTTCATTACATTGCCATATCTTACTAGCTGCATTTTTAAAGTAATCTATGTACACTTACATAAGCTCTTGCAGACTTCTTCCATCAGCACATGTGGGTGCTTGCATTCTATTTCGTAATATCTTAATCTAAATGACTTGCAAGTTGTGTTTCAGCCAGCACACCGGGATAATACAGCACCCCAAAACTGACACAGAAGAAGCATCCAGGCTGCAGCCCAACACCCCCTAACAGGCTGCAAGCAAAGGCATGGCCTGCGCCATTTGGCTGTCTCCAAACCAGGGCAAATCTAACGATGCCACCACATGCCCCAGGAGAGACAGCTACGTAGAACTGATCAAACGACCATATCCAAGCCAGTTTGAAAAACCTTCCCCTCGCCAGATCAAAATGAGCGTGAATCCCACTTTCACTACATGACTTGCAGAGGTACCGGCCAGTTTCAAGCACGGCCCTCACACAGCAGCCCCGACGCTTCAGCAGGTAGCATCTCAGCCTTTCAGGCAAAAGCAAAGCCAAGATGTAGCTCGTCAAAGAAGCTCAGTCCTTAAACTGGTTGTTTTTTCCTGGAGGTGAAGACGTTGCGTTTCTAAATTTTACAACTAAAACACAAAGAACACAGACATCTCACCTCCCCCAGAACAAACTAAAAGACTCTTTCTGTGACCACAATTTTGAATTGAAAAAGCATATGACCCATTTATTAAGTGCAGCTAGAATAAACTATTTTTGTTAATGGAAGCTTTTCAAAGACGTATCTGTGCGGAAAACAAGTAAGATTTGCCTTTGACAGGACATGCTACAGCATGCTCAGATGTGAAATAATGGTTAGATCCTTTCTTGCCAAATGAAGTCATGAAAATAAAAAACTAGAAAGGAATTTTCAAAAGCAGCCGAAAGAGATAAAACATTTTTTGAGAATGAAGTTAAATGTGGACTTTTAGACAGCTGAGCTAGAGTGCTCCTTGCAGTGGCAATTCTCTTGTAATTGAGGACTCTCTCAAAGCAGAGGTGGTCACACAATGATGGGAAAAAGATACTTTATACATAGATTCCTACGAAATCATGTGGTTGACCCATTCGGATAACTTCTCGCTTAAGAGGTGTAATGTTAAAGAGAGGGAATACCATAAAAAAGCATCCAGATCTTTTACAAACCTGAATAAAGGTATGTTGTACTCTTAAAAGTGTTCACCTGAGAGGTAACTGGTAACCAAGTTCCAGGACTACTTGTTTACTTAAACACAGCATAACCAGTAACATGTAACAGAACGCAAGTGTAAGTGATATTGTCTAGAAGAAAAAGGGCTCACTGAAAACCATCCAGATTCCAAGTCAGCAATTCCTCCTCTCATGACTGTTAGCACTTAGATGATAATGAAGGCAACAGCGGAAAAGTCTCAAAGAACCAATAAAGCATCAATAGCTAACATCTCTGCCTTGGGAAAACAACTGCAGAAATTAAAACATGATGCAGTCCTCACCAGGGAGAAATGGAAACTCTTTTAACCAAACACATATATTTTATAACACGTATTAGTAGCTAGATAGCTCCAACAAGCTGCCAACTTGCACAAATGGATAACAGCCCCCAAGTCACTTTTGTTGATACTGTTACCACTGTTTCTTTACATCTTTTGTCCAATCTAGAAAACATCGTCTTTTTACCCAGAAGCTCAGCACAGACTGGGCAAGAGCTCTCTCCTTCTACCCTGTCCTCAGTCTGCTAGGACTTGGGACTGTCGCGCACTACTTCTAACAAGGAGTTGGCCGTTTCAAGTCACAGTCCTTCCCAAGTCACACTGCAAAGGTGCCACCTGAAGTCTGAGAGTGCCCAGAACTGAGGGGAGCAAGGAAAAGAGCAGGGGAACGGCCAGACCAGGATGCTTCTACCCTCTCCCCCGTGTTTAAACAGTGTACCCATATTTTTAAGCAAATTATTTAGTCAGGAGTGTCCTTATCAGGAGGAAAGCCAACATGCTTGCACTTCTCAGGATGCTTCTTGCATTGGGAATGCACAGCCTCTGTCTCCTGAGCCATCACGCATCTCCTGAGCTCCTCTTGGGAGTGGATTTTCTCTGAATAGAAGATTCTCTTTTGCTATTATTAAAAAGAAGTCTCCTTCCGCTAAAAGGGCAATTTTTTTGTTAGCTCACAAACAAACTGGGAGATAAATGCAGCCAGAAGTGTTACTATAATTTGTCTGAAGCAGAAAAAGTGAAAAACTATACAGTATGGGTGCTTTGCCTGAATATAACTGACTTGTGTGAGTATGTACTAACAAAATCCCTTGACTGAAAACAGTAAACCCTACTACAGTAGTCTGGTGGGTAGTTTTTTCCCCTGAATCAAACTAAGATTTAAAAAACTTGAAGAAATATTGAAGAAAGTACCAAAGTAACATAAACACTTTTTCCTGTTCTAAAAAGTACTGACAACATTAGAAATTTTATCTGTGCTTTAAATATAGGAGGTACATCTCCTACTTTGCCAATAAGAAAATAACATACCCAAAATTATGTAATAAATCAGACACAACTCCAAGAACTGAATACTAATGTGATGATCCATTCAACACTGGCACATCTCAGCCATGTTCTCTAAATACCTTAAAGTATCCTCAGCCAGTAATTTCGCTACTTAAACTTGATTTAAGAAAAAGCCAAATCAAATGAGGCACTGAAAAAAAGAAAAAAAGGTCCACGTGGTGATTTCAAAATGCAAAAAAATCTAAGACACCAGAGTTTACAAACAACTGGCAAATTCACATCCTTCCTGAAATAACAGCTTATTTCTAAAATGCTTCCGAACAAGTGTTCTTGTAGCAACCTGATACATGATGCAAGCTTATTTATCACTAAAACTGTATTATTTTGATTTCTTTATAAACAGTTCATTAAATTTCAGGTCTCAGGAGGTCACATACCAATGTACGTGTTGCTGAAATTTAGTGCTTAAATAGTTATCGTTACCATCAGATGAGACGCATTTCAGCCTGGCCACATTCAGACTGCTGGTAAACACGATGACGTGAAACCCTGATCAAAGATGGCCTGGAGGCAATACATTTGATGGCACTTCAGATCCTCAAGGCTTTAATTTCCAAAGCATGTTTTAAGTTGATACACCTTAAGAAATGTGGTTTTAAGAGTGGCACCCAACACGTCTCCTAAAAAGCCCAGCCCCTCCGAAGCAGAACAACTTTGTGCCCAGTATTGCGCGCCATAGACTGGTTTTACGCCGCTGCTCACCCAGCTCACTGTGGCGTACACTGGACACAGGCAGCACTACCATGGGAGGTAACAACCAACTCTGTGCTACCGACCACTGCACGGCTTTCAGTTGGGATTTCTCCATTAAGTGCTTGTCTTAACTCACATTTCACAGATTTGTCCTTCAGCTACAAACCCAAACCGCAGAAGTCACGCGTCTTCACGAGGGCAGGTCGCTGACTGCAGAATAAGGCAGACCTTCACTGCTCCCCCACCCACAACAGCCTCCTCAGAGAGGCTCTCTGGAGTATCTGAGGATGAGTATCGTTTCCTCGCAGAAGCCTGGGCATCCAGAAGACAGATGAACTAAAACTTAGCGTTGTCACTAATTAAAACTTCCTCAAGACTGGGCATACCTTCCAAAGGACACAACAGTTCATCAGAAGCAACAGCACCCAGCCTCTGCAAGAACACTCCCCTGAATTTAGTGGGAAACACGAACATGGCAAATTTTGGTTATTCTGGTCAAACTA